ACACAAATTGCACATATAAAACATGTGAATCGTGATAGCAATATAACAATTAGCTTGTATTTTCACTTTTGTCAATGGACAACTCATCAAAACAAATTTTTTTTAGAACTACATATGATGACTTTAAAAGTGAAGTTAAATTTATTTTCGTTGTATCAGGTTTAAATAGTGCACTAATCATATGAGAAAGAGATGTCAAATATAATCACTCAATTGCTTAGCTTTTTAAACTACATATGATGACTTTAATAGCGAAGTCAAATTTATTTTTGTTATTTCAGGTTTAAATAGTACACTAATCGTAAGAGAAAGAGATGTCAAATATAGTCACTAAACTACTGAACTGTAGAAAGAAGCAATGAAACAATCATCAACCACATTATGCAAGATCCATCGATACCTACTTATTGAGTCAAATTAAAATTAAAATAATTTCTTTAAATTATCAAAATTACTTTTATCTACCATATAGCTTTGATTGAACTAAATATTCTCACATAATGACACAAACGGTTGAATAAAGAAAGCAAACCTCTCAATGACTCGATCTATATTTATCATCACACACACAATATATTTTATTTTTAAAGAATTTTATTTGGACTTAAAATCCATCACAAAAGTAAGAGAGAATTAATATTATTTTTACTCCTCATGGTAATTTTTTAAAAGTTTTATACTTGATAAGTAAAAATAGACAAAAAGACCCCCACCCACCCCTAATACACCCCCTATTTGAAGACGACTGACTTTAAAAACAAAACAGAAATTTATTTTTGTTATTTTGAATTCAAATAATGCAATAGTCATAACCAAATAGGAGTGTCAAATATAGTCATTCATCTGTAAATTGTCGTTATAAATTTGACACAATATATGCACTGTATTTTGACACAATCATTTAGTAACACTATTTGAGAACATCATATATAGTAAGTCATTTATTGTTCAAAAGGAAAATCTCAAACAACACAATTGTTTAAGTTTGTAACGTATTCCATATCTATATTGAAATTTTATTAAATTTGAATTTGCTCAAGAAAGTATCAGATAGTATAACAGGATAATTAGCAATATTAATCTAACTTTGTTGTAATCTCACACAACAATATTTTATTTATTTATATATATATATATATATATATATATATATATATATATAGATTATTCTATCCATTATAAGCAAACTTTGTGTTTGGCCACCTCTCATTACTTTTAGTATTCTAACTTTTTAATTTTAATATAAAAATACCAACATAAAACTTACAAGACAATATAATATGGTTGTTAATCAATTCACAAATTCACAAATAGAATAGTTTTAATTGTATACTTATAGTACTAATTATTCGTAACTTTCACTAATAATTCTCATTGTATAGGAATTTTTCGTGTTAATGTGGTGGTTTCAGACGTTCAGTATATTTAAACTGTTTATGATGTCCTTTTATTGATTCAACGATATTATTAATATAAGTTTGGTGATTTTTACTTCAAATTTAATTTAAATGATTTAATTGTCTGACTACAATTGAAAATCTTTACCATTCTACAAAAATATATTGAATACAATTTTATAGGAAAACAATTTTATTGCGTATAAAACTTTCCCAAAATTGAATCAGACTTTTGACATTGTTAAATGTTAACATATTATTAACAAATATTATTTGAATTGTAGAGAAATATTAATAAAAAAATTAAACCGTTAAAGAGTAATAAAATAATTGGATAACTAGGAATATAATCAAACTTTGTTGTTATCTCACAATAAAATATTTTCCTTTTTTTGATCTTATTCTATCCATTATAAGTAAATTTTGAGTTTGAGCACCTCATATTACTACTAATAGAATATTCTATCTTCTTTTATTTTTTTTTATATTTTCTAAATTTCACTATTTGGCCCGCAGACAGATCCAACCTTAACTTCATTTAAGACCCACAAGCTAGGAGAGTTTATTCAAAAGGGAAAACTACATAAAATAGACTTAATCGTAAAACTATTTATTTAAATTAGACTTAACCCAAATTATATGTCTTTAATAGATTCATGATCTAAACTATTTACCTTTTTTTTTTTAGGATTCATGACCAAACTATTTACCTGCTTACCCTGATTTTTTCTTTCTTATTTCGTGCATGATCTCCACATCACTACTATGAATCAATCATATGTGATACTTCGTTGGTATATTGTTGATACCATATTGATATTATATAAGACTAAGCTTAATCCTTTGTGATACTCCGTCGGTATATTGATACCGTGTCGGTATCATATATGATTGAGCTCTTTTTTAAGAAATAAATAAAAAATAATTAAGAGAAAATTATTAAAGTCACAATCTTATTTATTAAACTATAAATTATTAGAAAATATATTCTTTATGATACTCCGTCGGTATATTAATACCATATCAGTATCATACAGGTCTAAGCTTAATCCTTTGTGATATTCCTTCGGTATATTGATACCTTATCAGTATCATATAGGATTGAACTCTTTTTTTAAGAAATAAATAAGAAAAATTAAGAGAGAATTATTAAAGTCACAATCTTATTTATCAAACTTTAAATTAGTAGAAAATATATTCTTTGTGATACTCCGTCGGTATATTGATACCATATCGGTATCATATATGATTGAGCGTAATCCTCTGTGATACGTTGTTGGTATATTTATACCAATACCCTATCGGTATCATATAAGATTTGACTCTTTTTTAAGGAAATAAATAAAAAATAATTAAGAGAAATTTATTAAAGTCCCAATCTTATTTATTAAACTCTAAATTAACAGAAAAATATATTTTTATATTTTTTAAATTGAAATATTAAAGAATTGAAACATACATCAATGATACCACGACATTATGTAGATATACCGTAATAGTATCATGGATGATTGATTAACCTCATCTAAGGACTGAAGCAAACCTCATTGAAAACATTATTCAATTACTCATTAATACCACCAAAGTGTGTTATACTTTGATGGTATGAAGGAGGAAGAAACAATCTTTCAATTAAGACACTATTTAGTTACTCTTTGATACCATCAGAGTATATTCCATATGCTATAATATACTGTAATGGTATTAGAGAGGAAAAAAAGGGTGGCCGCTGACAGATGTTAGCGCACATTTTATTTTTGTTGATATATGCAATTTTAAAATAAAAATGAGGGGTATGAAAGTAATGAAGCATTTAAGGGTAAATATTTTACTTTTTTAGGATACAAGTGTTTTTTCTCTATTCAAAAAGATTTCTTTTAAATTGGGCTTCGAAAATTTTAACCCTATCTTATTGAATTGCGGATATTGACGATTCTATTATTTTTCTGACTTGATACAATCTTTAAAAAATATTTATTAAGAAATTATTTTGTTAATAGGGTCATATTAAAAATTGAAATTTGATTATTATTAATACTTTATATACACTAAAACTTCACTAAATTAATACTCGTTAAATTAATAATCTCTCTAAGATAATATTTTCCTCCGATCCCGACTTGGACCAATGAAAAAAAGCACACATTTCGATAATATATTTTCAGGAGACCCCTATATAAATATATGACCCCATTAATATTATAAATTAATATTTCTTTTAGTGAAATATGATTCTATAGTGTTTTGTTTTTTGTTAAAATTTAATTCTAGTTGAAGTTCATCTCTAACTTTAGTTATTGTATCCAAAAATTTCGGTGTTGTCTTTTCGAACTGCACCATAAAATTGTGAAGAGTTCTAGATGCAATAAGTGGTTCCTTACGCGTCATTAGCTCCAAATGTATTGTATCATCTCCAACTTCATCATCAATATTGTTTTTTTTCCTGATGATATCCTCAATTACTTCTAAGCTCTAGACCTCTAAACATGTATCATTTGCATCTAGGTAAATCAACAGGTTATTGGCGTTCATTTTACTACGGTAACTGAGATCATTAATCATGACCTCAAGTTCATGAATGACGTTTTCACAAGTGGGTTCATTCAAATTCTCTGAGATTCCATTCCCCCAACGAATTTAGAGTGTTGAAAACAATTTGCTACTGTTAGTTGCTGAACATTTGTTGTTCAAGTCGGAATTGCAAAATTGATAGCATCCAAATCATTAATCTTTCCTAGATCCGTTTGTCCCACTTCATAGCCTTCTAATATCCTATGATAATTTTTTTTGCAATAATACATCTTGAAAGCTCTTATTATTCCAGCATCACAAGGTTGAATCTCAAAACACTAAACACTCTTTAAATTAATAAATATTAATTTATCGATTAAATAATACCTCTACAAAATAATAATATTTCATGATCCTACCTATATTAATTTAGTGAGGTTTTACATTAGTTGCTTGATGATAAAATAATATATCCTTTTAATATTTAACTTCTAACATTAATAATTTGTTCTCCAAATTCTTTTTCGAAACCTAAACATAAATATCAATTAATATGAATATTATAATAAATACTTATATTAATTATTATTCTTCAGTGAATACACAAAATCTTAAACTTAACAAATAAAAATAAACAAAAAAGGTTAAAACAAGAGATACGACAATAAAACAAAAAAACCCAACTAACTAGCGCGCGAAATTCTGAACTTGACAGGTAAAACTGAACGAAAAGATACAAATGAAAAATATAGTAATAAAACAACTTTTACCGAATTCCTTCGATATGATTCTCTCAAACGCCTTAATATACTGTATTTGTTCACGTATCTATGTTGAACATAATGTAGAAAAAAACCGTTAAAAAACCATTAAAAGGAATTTCAAGAAAAAAAAGATACTAACAAAGAAAATGAAACTATCTTTTTAGTTCACTTTTCTTCTTCATAGCTTTTGGACTCACATTAGTGAAGTGAAACCTCCTTACCTTTTTCTCTCTCCAAGATAGCTTTAAGACCCTACCCACCCCCCTACATGACCCCTTTTTCCCTATAAATATATATATAAATACAGTAATATATATGTATATATGTATATATATAGTTTCTCTTTCTACAGTACTCACAGCTCACATACCATAACTCTCCATCTCTCTAGGATATGTATTACGTACAGGTTCCTCTCTTTTATCTCTTAGTAGTATATATAGATATTAGTGCTTTTCTTAAAAGCTTCTGATCTGAACTCTGAGCACTGAAATATATAGAGAAGAAGACTGAAGAAAACCCATCCAGAAAAGGAAGGAAAACTATTTGAAGAAGGTATAAAAAAGAAATGGAAAACCCTAATGGTCTACACACCCACTTGGGTAAATTTTATTATTTTTTTATTTTACTGTCATGGGTATGTTTAGATATAGGTATAAGGATTATCTGTTTTGGAATCTTTAATTTTTTTTTTGGTCTTTATAGGTCATGTTTGTATCAGATCCGATGAAGTGGGTATTGAGTTTTTAGCTGATTGTTTTGATTTGTTGTATTGGGTTGTGTTAAAAAGGTTGGAGAAGTGTTATTTATGGGGTTTTGGTTTTTGGGTTGGAAAAAAAATTGATCTTTTTTTTTGGATAAATTTGATGGGGTTTTGTTGTTTTGTGTAATGAAGATCTGGATGGTTGAGGAGGAGAAGGTGTTTCATTTGCAGTTCTCTTCTTTTCTTTTTGAAAAGTAGTATTGCTTTTGAAGTCAAGTTGAAGTTTTTTTTTTGTTTCAAAATGCAGGAGATTTTTGTTAAAGCAATCATGTTTAGCTTTAGATGCCAGGCTGTAACATGGAGTTTACTGAGTGCTTACATTTTTTTTTGGGCAAGTTGACTAATTTTGAAATATATGAATAATGCTGGGTTGGTTTGTGAATTGTGATCTCAGTGAAGGTATTCATTTGCCATATTTTTGTGATCCATGTTTCTCGCGCTACAGGACACTGTGATGTATTGATGATGTATATTAGGTCGTGAAAGATCCAATTTTTTTCTGTTGGGTAGTTTATTCACTTCAGCATTTTTGTCTTTTAACTGGGATTAACATGTAAATAGTTTTAATTTGGATAATAATGCTTCTCCAGCTGTTTTAAGTGTTTGATAGTCATGGTTGCCTAGTTTTTTTTTCTGTAACTACAATTTGGACATTTGACTGAAGCTTTGGTATTTAACTCAATTCAGAAATCAGAATCGGCAATCGGTTTATTGACGGATGCAAAGGTGTTAATGCGGTGTATTTGGTTGGAGTTGGTGGATTTAGCAACTCGAAAAGACTTCCATCTTTATAAGGCGCACTTCTCAAATTTCTTGTTTGGAGTTGGTTGATTTTAGCAGCTTGAAAAGACTCTTAATAAATTGCTTTTGTCAAGTTCTTCATGTCCATTGCTTTTGGGTGCAAACTTGCTCAAAGTTCTCCAGAGATTACGAGGGGTTTTGGTATCCAGTTCTACCCGTGCTACATTGAGCTACAGTCTACAGTTGGAGCTGCAGCTGCTACATAGAAAAGCTGTGTGGTCGGAACTTGGAACTTCACTGGTTGGATTTTAATATTGAGCTTGTTCATGTCAAACGGGTTGCTTAGTGATGTTGTAGTGCTAGTTTACTGCGATCTCTGGGCTTGCTAACTATCTAAATCAAATTAGGAGTCTGAAACTCTGACTAGAGAATATAGGCAGCCCAGCATGCTTCAGCGAGTACTTTCTGCTTCTGTGCCAATGCTGCTGATTGCAGTTGGCTATGTTGATCCTGGGAAATGGGCTGCAATGGTTGATGGAGGAGCCCGGTTTGGGTTTGATTTGGTCATGCTAGTACTCTTGTTCAATTTTGCTGCCATTCTGTGCCAGTATCTGTCTGCTTGTATAGCCTTGGTTACAGACCGAGATCTTGCGCAGGTAGTGTTCTTTCATTGGAATTTAACTTTTGATTGCGTATCTAAGTAGTGATGAATCTTAGTAAATCGAACATGCATGGATGTTGATTCTCCTGCTCTTGTATGTTTCATTTAGAACACCCATAGCAAGCCCAGTTCTTTTGTTTTTTGATAACCTGGTGTTTGGGCCAACTTGTGCACATCTTGACTAATTCCACAGAAACCTGTCACCTCCCTCCAACAATAGGCACCAGGTTTACCTGTCCACTAGGCTAGAACAGAGAAGTCTTGAAACGTGATCAATGGTTGTGTCTTGTTTTTGTGTATGAACATCTATTTCTTTTTTGACAAATTAGTCCTTTCAAAGGTCCTTAACCAGCAGAACCCC